AGACGTGTGCTCTTCCGATCTCCCCAAAACCCCAAAACCCCAAAACCCCAAATAATGCAGTTTGTGATTATTTGATTCATATTAATCATAATGTAATATCTAATTATCAATTTGTAAATAAATATATTAAAGAATGCAAAATTAAGAGGCAATATAGATAGACACTACTACTAATTAGCAATAAGAGCCTATTCCAACTGAACCTTAGTCATAAGATACTAGATTAGTTGGGGAGGTAAAAATAAACTAACTCATACTCAAATTTAGACTGGTCTTGGATTCGTCAAGAGAGATTAAGGCGTCAAAAATGAGGAAGAATTAGGACTTCTAAAGTTTATGGTAGTCAAAAATGATAAGTAAGATTTAGAACAATCATAATGTCAATCAATTTAGAACTCTGGAAAATATGAGGCACCTGATCGATCTGAAGAACATTATAGCTAAATAGCTTCCGAAAATGCCCAGAAACTACATAGTAAAATTGATAATGGACAGACAGCACGAGGCAATGATTATTGTGAGATACCCTTAAGGAAAGAGACCACAAATTATAGGCGGGTGTGTCTTTAGACCATTTAAATCTCAGAGATTCGCTGAAATCGTCTTTCTCGCTATTACGACCTCTGAGTAAGTGAGAGGATTTGGAACTCGACTTATGAACAGACTGAAAGCTCATGCCTAAAAGGAGGGAATCTAGTACTTCTTGACTTACGCTGATAATCTGGCGATTGAGTTTTTCAAGAAATAAGGTTTCAATCAGAAAGGCCAAATGCATGAAGCTAGATGGAAAGGCTACATTAAGGATTACAGTGGTAGTACTATGATGCAATGCTAAATTCACAGTGACATCAGTTACGTTGATTTATCAGATGATCTCAAAAAGCAAAGAGATGTAAGTTCATAACATGAGTATTAGCATAGATTTAACTATTCCTTAGAAAATACTAGATGAAATAAACAGAATCATATTTTTACAAAGAAATGAAGGTTTGAGATTTGACTAAGGAAAAGCTCATTATGAGTTTGATGAAATATTTGGGCTTAAAGAAGCTGGGTGGACTCAGAAAGCTTATGAACTTGCCAAGTAAGCAGTATTCACATAATGTATTCTTAGGGCTGCTGAGGAAAGGACCTTTCAGGAACAGTGTCAGAAGATCCTTAAGATATTATGGGATCATGAAAATTCTAGGGTCTTCAGAAAGCCTGTTGATGCAAAGAAAGTAACTGATTATTATTAGTTTATCAAGGAGCCAATGGGTAAGCATCAAATTGTTTTAATGTATGGTTAGATTTGGAAAGAATATAAAAGAACTTGAATGACAATCAGTATCATACAGCCGAATAGTTTAAGAAAGATTTGATCAAAATTTTTGATAATGCTAGAACATACAACACTTCTGAGACTATCTACTATAAGTATGCTGATTAGCTTCAAAACTTGGTAAAGCCTATGCTCGACAGAATGAAGGACAATGCTACAATTGAGAAAGATCTCAAACTTTTGAATTAGATCCCCAAGGAGGCAAATTAGGTAGGAGACATAGATGATATGGAATTTGAGGATAACCCTGAAAATCAGATGTCAGCTGATAAAATCAAGAATAGCATTAGTGAAAGCAAAAGTAACAAAAAGAGGAAGAGATGAAAGAACAATTATAGTCGACCTGAGGCTATACAAATAAATTTCTTTTAACCCACATCATTAACATCTATCATTTAGAAATTACAACTTCATTACTTCTATCTATTTATTCACTTGGGGTTTTGGGGTTTTGGGGTTTTGGGG